CAAAATTTATTCTGCCAGTCAATTAGATAATGGCCTAAAAATTGTACTGCACCTCCATTTATCTGCCTTTTCTCCATATCTCCTGACTTTCATCAGGATCTTAAATGAAACTTTCTCGTCACTACACCGGATAATAAATCCATAAGTGACATTCACTCCTACTTGTGCATGAACGAGCCCTTAAATAGAAATTCTACTGTCCAGCCTATTAGTAGCTGACCAGGTGAGATTCCCTCGTAACAGACTGCACCATTTATGAGCATCTTAATTAGTAGTTCATTCGGGTAACATTTTCACCTGTTGGATTCTCAGATGAATTGGCCAGGTGAGTGATGCTTCTTGCGAACAACAATTAATGAAACATTTGGAGAACAATCCCTGTCGCTAGGTCACTATGTAACCTTTTAAGTGGCATTCCCTTTGAGCTGCCTGGTAATGAGAATCCCTCATGATCACAAAAACAGATTTTATGATGGTCATTTTAGTGCTGGTTGTTTGACTTTGCTGTGTGCAAATTGGTTGTTGCATTTACTGCATTATAGCAGTGACACTTAAAAACTATGTTAGCAGCTGTAAGCTCTTTGGGATGTCCTAAGATCATGAAAGGTACTATATAAATGCAAGCCATTTTTTAGGACAGGTAGATAAGTGGGGAAGAACGTGTAAGGGATAATTGCTTTTATTAGCCAAGGCATTGAATACAAGACCAAGGCAGTTATGATGGAGCTGTATATAACAATAGTTAGGTCACTGCTAGAGTGTTATGTATGGTTGTGGTCACCACACTACAGGAAGGATGTGATTACACGAGAGCAGATGCAGAGGAGAGTCCCCAGGATATGTGCTGGACTTGAGCTGTTCAGCAATAGGCTGGGATGTTTTCCTTATAGCAGTGAAGGCTAAGGAGAGATCTGATTGAAGTATACAAATTTCTGCAGGACATAGGCAGGGTATATATCAAGAAATTTTTCCTTTTAGCGGAGGGATCGATTACCGGAGGGCGCAGTTTTAAAGTAAGGAACAGAAGGGAATTTGATGAAAACCTTTTTCGTCCACAGGGTTGTGGGTATCTGGAACCCACTGCCTGAAGGAGTGGTAGAAGCAGGAGCCCTTGAGATATTTCAGAACTATTTAGATGAATATTTAAAAACACCATAGTATACAAGGCAACGGGCAAATGCTGGAAAGTGGGATTAGAATTGATGGGTGGCTGAAGACTGGCATGGACATGATGGGCTGAAAGCTCCTTTTCTGAGCTGTATAAACTCTTTCTATGACTCTAAAACTGACAAAACTGCCAAATTTTCATCTTCTTTCTTAAAGAACATCATACTGCTTCATTAGCCTCAACTAACTGAGTGATATTCCTACTGGTCTGACCATTATAGGGAAAACCATGAACAATACTTCATTCTCAAGAGTCAAGTAAGGAATCTTGAGTAATATTTATTTTGCAACGTCCCTTTTGAAGGGGTCATCTCTGTTAAATCCCTGTAAAGCCTCTTGTCTAACAGTCTACTTTGATTCATAGACAATTCATTTTCCCCAGTCCATTAGTAAAAGATTTAAATTATTTTCTTTCCCTGCTCCAATTACTAAAAAGCATTGCTTCTGTCCAGCTCTTGAAATAATACCTAAATTTAGGATTTTAGACTTCCTGAAAAAATGAAATACACCATAAGGCCATTAGATGTACAAGCTGCAATAGGCCATTCATCCCATTCAGTCTGCTCCGCCATTCAATGAGATCATGGCTGATCTTGTGATCCTCAACTCCACTTTCCTGCCTTATCCCCATAAACCCTTGATTCCCTTACTGATTAAAAACCTGTTCTATCTCACCCTTGAATACACTCAATGATTCAGCCTTGATAGCTCTCTGTGGTAAATACTTCCACAGATATATCAGCCTGTGAGAGAAAAGATTCTTCCTCATCTCTGTTGTAAATGTGCTAATCCTTATTCTGAGATTTCGTCTGGTCCCAGACTCTCCCACAAGGCCAAGCAACCTCTTCTCATCTACCCTGTGAAACCCCTAAGAATTTTATGTTTTAATAAGATTGCGTCTCTTTCTTCTAAACTCCAATGTGCACAAGCCTTCTCCTCATAAGAAAATCTCTCCGCACCCAGATCAACCCAGTCAACCTTCTCTGGAATGCATCCAATGGTGTACATCCTTCTGCAGCTAATAGAACCAGGTGTGGTTTAACTAGTGTATCATATAGTTTTAGCAATCCCTCACTATTTTCATAAATCATTCCCTTTGAAATAAAGGTTCCATTTTTCATCCTACATACCCACTACCATTGGATGCTAGCTTAGTGATTCATGCGCTAAGACCATCAAATCCCTTTTTGCTCTGGCTTTCTGAAGTCTTTCTGAATTTAAATAATATTCAACTGTTCTTTTCTTCCTGCCAAAGTGTATAACCTCATATTTTCACATGTTATATTCCATCTTCCAAATTTTTGCCCAATCACTTAACCTGTCCATGTCCCCCAAAAGATTATTTTCCTCCTCTTTACCATTTGCCTTCCCGCCTATTTTTGTGTCATCCACAAACCTGGCCACAGTGCATTCAATTTCCCAAAGAAGTCATTAATAGATATTGTAAATAATAGTGGCTGGAGCATTAATCCATGTGGCACTCCACTAGTTACAGGTTGCCATCCTAAAAGAACTCCTTTTATCTCAACTCTGTTAGTTGGCCAATTCCCTATCCATGCTGATACTGTACCCCAGTTGGCTCTTATCTTATTAAGTAGCCTTGTGTGCAATATCTTATTGAATGCCTTTTGAAAATCCAAATATATTACATATAATGGTTCCCCTTTATCTTCCTGGCTTGTTCCTTCTTCAAAGAGTGCGATAAGTTTGCCAGGCATGTTTTCTCCTTCATGAATCCATACTGACTCTGTTTAATTATAATATGTGTTTCTAAATGCCCTGCCATTACATCCTTTATAACAGTCCATAACACTTTCCCAGTAACAGATGCTAAGCCATTTGGCCTATAGTTACCTTTTTTTGTCTCCTTCCCTATCTATATAAAGGCAATTTTCCAATCCTCCAGGACTTTTCCAGAAACTAAGGATAGTTGGAGGATTATTATCAGTGTATCCATTATTTCTGCAGCTACTTTTTCTAAAATCCTAGGATGCATCGCATCATTTTGGAAATTCAGTTGCTGTTGGTATGAAGTCTAACATGATATGAGAGAAATCATAAATTTCCACAAACACACATTTGAGATTAATGATCAATCTTCTGTCTTTCTGCTGCTATATGGGTTGAGTGACGTTTGTTCTTCAGGATTGTGATCTTTATAATAGCATTTGAAAGACTAGGACAGGCAGATGGGTTTTAGGTTCAGTGAGCCAGTATTTCTTAGAAGTAGCAACATTACACATATTGCCACTCCAGCTCTTCGTTTTTAATGAAAGAACAGAGCGCTGCATTTCTGACAGAAAGTTCCATTCAGGATTCCCTCAGTAATGCAGAGCCGATGTTCCATTCTAATAGTTCTGTCTAGCGCAGAACAACTAGAGGGGTGTAAACCATGTCCCTTTTCCACAGCAGTTAGTTGCCATGTTCTGAAATTTAAAGATCCTAACAATCAATTTGACAGCTACTATCAAACCCAATGCACACAATGTAAGTGTGATGTTAGGATCCTTTCAGGGTAGGAGGCCAGACGGAGCGGGGTTGGGTGCCAGTTAAGCTGGATGCCAGAAAGATAAAGCACCAGCTGAGTAGGGTACCACCTGGGGGTGGATAGGCTGCCAGGGGTAGGATGTCAGATATTAGGGGTGTGATAACCCCTTTATAGCCCATGAGGAATCACTAATTAATCTCTCTATGGAGCTTGTTGAGTATGATTTCCCTTGGTAACAGGCAAAGGCCTGTGTAACTGGAACTCATCACCTGAGCCCTTTATAAAGTAGACCTAGGGATAGGGCTCTCTTGTGGTACAGAGGTAGTGTTCATACTCCTAGGCTAAGAGACCAAGGTTCAAGTCCCACCTGCTCCAGAAGGATGAACAACATCACTGAACAAGTTGGTTAGAAAAATAGGCTATTTTTTTTAATTTTAAGGAAGCAAACCCAGGGATGCATGTGTAGATCAGTCTGTCCCAAACTGAGACTATTGTATATACACCATTATTTTGGTGTTCAACTATAAATATTGTCCTTGTCCAGTCAGGATTCCTAAGTTATAACAAGGGGGCTGAGTGTCAGATAAGCAGGCCACCAGGTGGGTAGACTGCCAGCTGGGTAGGGGTGATGCCAAATGGATAGGATTCCAATTGGAAAGGGGGCAGGGTGTCAAATGGTGCAAGGCAGTAAGATAAGTGATGCAGTTTAGGATAGGTTTGGGTGGGTGGGGGATATTGAGTCCTGAGGGAGAGTGGTACCTGGGGTTAGGGGTCCAGCAGAGGATGGTGTAAACATTTGGGTTGGGCCTGATGGGTGTTGGGGGTTCAGGTCCAGCAGCAGTGAATGGGTAGAGGGGCAGAGGCTAGTAGGGTATTGGGCCAGGTCTGGTCTGACAGAGGGGGAGTGGGAAGATTGGTGTGGGTCAAGTCTATTGACAGAGAGCGTGTGGTCAGGTCTGGGTGAGGGTGGTGGTCAGGGCAGATCAGGTCTAGAGATGTCAGGTTGGTTCCAATTAAGTAAAAGCATGGTCAGTTCCATCAGGGACAAATGGGTTTGGGTTGGGCACTTGGTGGGTGTGGGAGAGGGGGTGAGGGTGAGGGTGGGGTTTGTGGGAGGCCCCACTCTGATGGAAGGAGAGGGGGAGGGTGTGTTCTCTGGTCTGCTTCCACCAGGCAAAGGATAGGGTCAGATCTAACGGTGGAGGGGTTGGGGATACGGGGGAATGTTATGTCTAGGTTTACCGCACTGGGAGCACTGATCGAAGATGGCAGTGAAGCAGGACGCTCCAGCCAGAACTCCACCTCTCCCTGTCTGTTTATTTCTCGTTTCCTTTTTTTCCTTTACCTGTTTGTGTTTCTTCACCTTCCCCGTGGCCTGGTATCTCGGTGACTCATGGCGGGTCTCGGCCTGGTCTTTTGGCGGTATGTCAGCCCGGTCTCTTGTGGCTTGTGGCGATGTCTCGGCTCGGCATGCGAGTGGATCTTGCCCGGGCATGTTCCCAAGGCACCGGGGAAGATCAGAGAGGCAGCGGTTAGAGCAGCAGCGATGGTATCTGCGGCAACGACGTCAACAACAGGCAGTTGAGGTCTCCCAGAGAGCAAGATAAGCGGAGGACTCTTCAAAGACTGTTGAACTTCTAACTTATTCCTTTTTCTCCTACTTTAAATTGAGAAAGACTTTAATGTTAATTATTAACTTATTTATTTATTTCTCTACTTATTCTATGAAGTAATGCTTAACCTTTTAACTCTGTTTCTCTTACTAGTTTGCACCTAAGTTTTCTGTACCTAGGTTCTGTAAATGAGATGGTGCCTTGGGTGGTGACATTATACAGCTTTCACTGTACTCCTGTACAGTGTCGGGTCAGGTCTGAGGGCTGTAAGGGGTCTGGGAGAGGTGTTACTAGGAACGCACAAGGTCAGAATGTGAAGACTTCCAAAGGGTTCCAGGCAGAGAGAAATTGCCCAGTAGGAAATTCCATTTCCTGGGCATTTCCTTCCATGTGTGATCCTCATGCACAATTTCTATGTACAATGGATGAACAGCTGTGTGGCTATTGGAAAATCAGTGCATTGTCTTTTCTGAAAGATGGCAATGCAGCATTCCCTTTTCGCATCAGCGTCTTGGTCAGCATTCATTACGATCCCAGCATGCACTGAGTTAAGGCTGCAGCTAAGGAGGAGCTGGATTGATCAGAATGGTGGCTGCAGGAGCACAGCACAGGAGAGTGAACCTGGAAGTGAACTGAGCCAGGAGCTACTGGAAAAGTACCTGAGGAACGGGGTCAGTCAGGGCAGTACTGAGGACAGTCAGAATGGGACTGAGGATAGTCAGAGCAGGACGGAGGACAGTCAGAGCGGGACTGAGGATAGTCAGAGCAGGACTGAGGATAGTCAGAGCGGGACTGAGGATAGTCAGAGCAGGACTGAGGATAGTCAGAGCAGGACTGGGGTCAATCAGAATGGGACTGGGGTCAGTCAGAGTGGGGCTGAGGACAGTCAGAGGGAGTAGGAGCTGAAACCAGAAGCGAAGCTCCAGGGATGACATCTCAACTGAAAAAGCTGCTCAGGAACCAGGTCTAGAGACTGAGTGAGAATTACCCAGGGTGAGACAGATGATAAAGTACTTAATATTGTCTGTTAGGAATAGATTCAGAGTGAGAAATCTGATTTTGGGAGTCATTGGTAAAGTTTCTCAGTGAGTTCCTAGATTATTGCCTGTGGTTATTAGGTTTCCCAATGGCAGGAGAACTCGGTCCATTGGCATGCTCCCCCTGCAATATGTGGGAAATCTGGGACATTTCCAGTCTCTATGGTGACTGCGTAAACAGGAAGTGTGTTCAGTTGCAGCTCCTGATTTGCTGCGTGGAGGTCTGGAGCTGCAGACGGACTCACAATGGAGCATCCATGGGGCTGAGAATGTCGTCGATAGCATGTTTAGCCATCCAGTCACACCACTAGTAAAGGGCTACACAGACAGACAAGACTTGGGTGACCACTAGTAAGATAAGTGTGGGCAGGCAGTGCAGTAGTCCCCTGTGGCTATTCCCCTCTCAAGTTAGTATACCATGTTGGATCATGTTAGAGTGGATGGCCTCTCAGGGGAAAGGAACAGCAGCAGCCAGGTCAGTGGCACCATGACTGGTTCTGTTGTACAACAGGGAGGATCAAAGTGTAGGCGAGTGATAGTGATAGGGGACTGGTATAGTCAGCGGCACAGATAGGTGGGTCTGTGGCAGCAAGCGAAACTCCAGGATGGTGCGGTGGGACCCTGATGCCAAGATCAAGGATGTCTCTGAGCAGGCACAGGATATTCTGAAAGGGGAAGGTGAGCAGCCAAGGGCCATGGTCCATACTGGTACCAGCAAAATAGGCAGGAATAGATGAGGTCATGCAAATGGAATTTAGTGAGTTAGGAAGGAAGTTGAAAAGCAGGACCTCTCGGGTTGTAAACTCAGGATTACTCTCTGAGCCTGCTAGTGAGGCCAGAAATAGGAAGATAATACAGTTGAATGTGTGGCTGAAGAGCTGATATAGGAGGGAGGGATCAGATATCTGGATCATTGGGACCTCTTCCAGGGAAGGAGAGACAAGAAGGACGGGTTGCTGGAGGGGCACCAATGTCCTGGCAGGGAGGTTTGCTAGTGTCACTTCGGAGGGTTTAAACTCGTGTGACGTGGAGTGGGAACCAGAGCAGGAGGTCAATATGTGGAGTGTTTGAAGCGGAGTGAGGGGCTAAATCAAGTGTGTCTTTTAGGAAGAACAGGCAGGACCAGGTTAATGAACACAGCAGGACTGGTGGTCTGAAGTGTACTTTTGTTAATGCAAGGAATATAACAGGTAAGGTAGATGAGTTTAGAGCCTGGATTAGTACGTGGAATACAATGCTGTAGCTATTGCAGAAACCTGGCTGAGAGAAGGGCAGAACTGGCAGCTCAACATTCCAGGGTTTAGATGTTTCAAGTGTCATAGACAGGGTTGGAAAAGGAATGGGGGAGTTACATTATTGATTAAGCTGAATGTCACAGCTGTACTAAAAGATGACATCTTGGAGAGCTAATCCAGAGAGGCCATATGGGTAGAACTCAGGAATAGGAAAGGGGCAGTCACTGTGATGGGGGTTATACTATATGTCTTCAAACAGCCAATGGGAGATAGAGGAACAGATATGTAAACAGATTATGGAAAGATGTAAAAACAACAGGGTTATGATAGAGAGTGAATTTAATTTCCCCAACATTCACTGGGATTTCCTTAGTGCCAGCATAATTTGTTAGGTACATCAGGAGGGATTCTTGAAATAATACATAGATAGTCGAACTAGGCAAGGCACCATTTTAGACACAGTATTGAGGAATGAGCCTGGCCAGGTGATCAAAGTTTCAGTTGGTGCATGTTTTGGGAACAGTGATCATAATTCCATAAGTTTTAAGATAGTTATGGAAAAAGATGATTGGTCCTTGGGTGAAAGTGTTGAATTGGGGGAAGGCTAATTACAACTGTATTGGGCAGGATCTGGAGAAATAGAACTGGGGCCAATTGCTTGAAGGTAAATTGACATCTGACAACTAGGTATCTTTTAAAAGCCAGTTGATCAGAGTTCAGGACCGGCATGTTCCTATGAGGATGAAAGATAAGGATGGCAAGATTTGGGAATCTTGGGTGATGAAAGATGTTGTGTTTAGTAAAAAAGAAAAAGGAAGCATATGTAAGGTTAGGAAACAGAAATTAAACACGGCCCTCGAGGAATATAAACGAAGCAGCGAAGAACTTTAAAAAAAATTAAAAGGGCTAAAAGGGTCCTGAAATGTCCTTGGCTAGTCAGATTTAGGAGAATCCCAATGCATTTTATATGTATTCTAGGAGAAAGAGGGTAACTGGGGAAAGGCTAGGTCCACTCAAGGACAAAGGAGGGAATTTATGTGTGGAGGCAGAGAACACAGAACATAGAACATAGAACATAGAACATAGAACATTACAGCGCAGTACAGGCCCTTCAGCCCTCGATGTTGCGCTGACCTGTGAAACCAATCTGAAGCCCATCCAACCTAAACTATTCCATTATCATCCATATGTTTATCCAATGACCATTTAAATGCCCTTAAAGTGGGCGAGTCTACTATTTTTGCAGGCAGGGCATTCCACGCCCTTACTACTCTCTGAGTAAAGAACCTACCTCTGACATCTGTCCTATATCTATCACCCCTCAATTTAAAGCTATGTCCCCTCGTGCTAGCCATCACCATCCGAGGAAAAAGGCTCCCACTGTCCATCCTATCTAATCCTCTGATCATCTTGTATGTCTCTATTAAGTCACCTCTTAACCTTCTTCTCTCTAACGAAAACAGCCTCAAGACCCTCAGCCTTTCCTCATAAGACCTCCCCTCCATACCAGGCAACATCCTGGTAAATCTCCTCTGCACCCTTTCCAATCCTTCCTATAATGCGGTGACCAGAACTGTACGCAATACTCCAGGTGCGGCCGCACCAGAGTTTTGTACAGCTGCAACTTGACCTCATGGTTCTGAAACTCAATCCCTCTACCAATAAAACCTAACATACTGTATGCCTTCTTAACAACGCTATCAACCTGGGTGGCAACTTTCAGTGATCTATGCACATGGACACCGAGATCTTTCTGCTCATCCACACTACCAAGAATCTTACCATTAGCCCAGTACTCTGTATTCCTGTTACTCCTTCCAAAGTGAATCACCTCACACTTTTCCGCATTAAACTCCATTTGCCACCTCTCAGCCCAGCACTGCAGCTTATCTATGTCCCTCTGTAACCTGCAACATCCTTCCGCACTATCCACAACTCCACCAACTTTGGTGTCATCCGCAAATTTACTAACCCATCCTTCTACGCCCTCATCCAGGTCATTTATAAAAATGACAAACAGCAGTGGTCCCAAAACAGATCCTTGAGGTACACCACTAGTAACTGAACTCCAGGATGAACATTTCCCATCAACCACCACCCTCTGTCTTCTTACAGCTGTCCAATTTCTGATCCAAACCCCTAGATCACCCTCAATCCCATGCCTCCGTATTTTCTGCAATAGCTTACCATGGGGAACCTTATCAAACGCTTTACTGAAATCCAAATACACCACATCAACCGCTTTACCCTCATCCACCTGTTTGGTCACCTTCTCGAAGAACTCAATAAGGTTTGTGAGGCACGACCTACCCTTCACAAAACCGTGTTGACTATCCCTAATCAAATTATTCCTTTCTAGATGATTATAAATCTTATCTCTTATAATCCTTTCCAACACTTTACCCACAACCGAAGTAAGGCTCACTGGTCTATAATTACCAGGGTTGTCCCTACTCCCCTTCTTGAACAAGGGGACAACATTTGCTAGTCTCCAGTCTTCTGGCACTATTCCTGAAGACAATGACGACATAAAGATCAAAGCCAAAGGCTCTGCAATCTCCTCTCTAGCTTCCCAGAGAATCCTAGGATAAATCCCATCCGGCCCAGGG